TCCAGCTCCAGCACGCCCGACAGCCTGGTCCTCCGCTCCTGGGGGGTTATTTTGGATTTGCAGCTTCTCCTGCACGTGAAACTTTTTTCATGCACTCTTCTTCTTAAGCTTTTTAAGATTCACTAAGCTGCTTGCTTTGTAGAGAAGAAGGGAGAATCCTCTTTGGATCACATTTTATTTTAAATATGGTGGCTGAATTCCAGGGACTAATCTTTTTGGAGAGCAGTGTGAGGCAGAGTAGTCAGTAGTGTATTTTCTGTGTTCCTTTATTTTACATAACAGCAAAAAAACTCCACCTGGACCTCTTTTCTCTTTCTACCAGTGTGATCCATTTATATTCCAAAATGATGAAACCAGCAGACTTCTGGAAAGCATTTTTTTTATTTTAAAATAGAAAGCTCTCCATTTAAAGGACCATTGTTTGGATTGTAATAAAAAATAATCAAATTTCAATCCCCTGTTCATAAACCTACAAGCCTCTTTGTGTTCAGAAGTCTGCGTGCTGACTTTCTGCTTGATAGAAAGCTAGAACTGTGCTTGCAAATTCTTGGTTTGTTTTTCTTCTCTTGCAGCCCCCCCTCCTCGGGTAACACTGCATAATAGAGAGAAACTCTACAGAAAGAAATGGGAAGAGACCTCCTACTGAGGGGTGCTACTTAAGATACAGATCATTGGCATTTACCAGCCATATAAAAACAATATTTTCCCAAACCCTCTGAGTCCTGCTCCACAGTTTATACAGCATAAGGCTGCAAAAGCCAAAAGTTTGGTGTAGCACATCCAAGCAACTTTTTTTTTTTTTTTTTTCTCCAAATGCGTTTGACTTGTTTTAATAAATCTCTGGCTTCATCTTTAATTCCAAATTAAGTGTTTTCATCTTTGCCTTAATGAAGCTCCGCAGAGCTATTGTGAAATCTTGACGTAAGTGCTCACATAGTAAAAAAACGCATCTCTTCTGACTAATATATTTAATACTTCAAATAATCTGCTTTATCGTACGTTCATCACACTGCAGATTTGGAGATAATTTGAAAGGCCATTGCTGAACTTTGAACAAACTGTTTGCATTTTATTGTGTTTTCTTTTTTATCTTTAGAAAAAATAAAAATCAGGATACAGCAAAGAATGAAACTAATATCAATCAAATTTTAAGAATTGATTTTTTAAAAAATAAGATAAAAAGACTAGTTGCTTTTAAAAATTGTGTTATTTGCTGACTTGTATTCTCATTTAAATTTAAACTGGAAGCATTGTAAATGCTAAATAAATGTCTGTATTCAGAGGAAACACTTCTAGATGCATTTATAAAAGCAGTGATTTATTACTACAAAAATACTTTAATAATAGAGCAATATTGGTAAATGAAGCAGTTGTGTTATTAGCTGGTTTCTTAAACACGCGTGAGAAAACATCTAATATTTAGGAGGTAGTTTCCCCACAGAAGGAAAAAGGAATTACAGAATTCCCAAGATCAAAATAAAACTAATTCAAGTAAGTTTCTTTATGGGAGTCCTGAGTCAAAGGAAACATCTGGTCCCGCGCCTTCTTAGCAGGACATATGGTACATACTGCAGAGATGTCATCCATGAGAGGCCAGGACTGTGGCTGGAAAAGCAGAATTAGCTTTGCTACCTAAAAAGGGCGTCTCATTTATACAGGAGTTATAAAAATGTGTATTGTTTAGAAAGGTCCTCCTTTTCTTTTGCCTTAAAACAACTCAGGTTGGGAGGGTTGTTGGGAGGGTTGTTGAACAAGACGAATCTGCTCCAACTGCTTTGATTTTCCTTATATTGGAAAATTTTAAAGCAGATAATACTATTTTCAGGCTAATGATCCCAGAAGCCTTTTATGTACATAATGGTAGGAAAAAAATCACATTGTAGCTTTGTCCAGGCATTAATTTTTCTTTTCCAGTATGAATTTACATCGTTAAGGAAAGCACTACAAAAATAAGTTTCCATTCTTGAGCCCTGCAAGTAGTGCTTCCTATACTGACAGTCACCGATAAATCCTTGTGATCTTTAAGAGAAATACATAAAATATGTTTAAACAAATCCACCTCTCCTTCCGTGAGTTCTTTTTTTTGCACAGTGGTTTAGGAATTGATGTGCCTGTGTAGGGAGAGCACACAGGGATTTTTTCCTCCTTTGCACAGGAGAATATTCAAAAGCACTTTTTGTTGTTTCATGAATAACCGTATTAAAAGGGGAGGAAGAGATGTTATCTGTCAGACCCTTTTAGTGTCATAGTACCTAACTTTGTATAGCCCATACAGAAGACTGCCAGGGATGCTTTTTTGGATCCTCTTGGAGCGCGGCTTTTCTTTTCAAGCCTCTGCGTAATGGACTCTTAATCCTCGGTATGCTTCCTGCCCCGGCAGAGATGTCTTTAGCCCAGCATTCTTTTTGTTTACCCCTTTTTTTTAAACTAAAAATCTCGCAAGGCAATACCCAGGATCTGCGAAAGACCTATGAGATATTTGTGAAATGGGCCATGACTGCTTATAATTTGTAGGAATAATTACAGCATGTAAGGAAGTCTGCATTTATTAGCAGCAGTGATGAAGCATGTTGTTAAGCACACAGTGTGTCACCAAAGCAGCAGGCTGCCCGGAGCCCAGAATGGCTTTCATTGTTAATTTGGAGCAGAAACACTGAAGCATATCCTGAGAAGGATGCTAATGAAGGGACTGCCAGTAGTAAAATCCTAGTGACCTTTGTGCTTTGTGCTAATTTCTATTCCCCCTCCCTTCCCCCTTCTCCGTTCCCCCTGAGCTGCTATCTGGCCAGTTAGCCCATGAATTTTGAGGTACAGTAGGAATGTTGTCTGTGCTGGGGTGAGCTCCACGTGCCTCCCCCACTTCCACTCAAATCACAGCAGATTAAAGAGGCTTTTGTTGAAATATAACAGACAGACACATAGAGGCAGGGTTCAAATTAACTGATTATAAATCACTAGTTAGTCTGAGAAGCCAAATCTAGAGCTGGCTAATGATTTGAAATTACTAGCCAATTGTTAAATTAATCCCCTGTTTTAAAGCAACTGGGAAATGTTTGACAGCTGCAAAGAAATAAATATTTACGTGTTTTCTGGAGGACCTGGCTCTGCAGGGCTTGTTCAGGCTGGGTCTGCTGAGAGGTGAAGGAGAGGTGGTAGAGCTGAGCCAGACACAAGAGCTGTGGCACAGAAGAAAATGAGCCTGGTTTTTAAGATGGGCCCATTTTACTTATGGCTCCCAAGTACTGGTTTGAGAGCTGAGCTTTAAATTTGTAACCACCTGGAGAAGGGGGGTTGGAAGTTGGTGGTTCCCTCCCTATTGTAGTTTTTCTGATCTTGCTCTGTTGTCTGCCTGACGCCAAAAGTGTTTATGAAAAAAATTCTAAGGTTTTGTTTCAAAGTTGTCACTAGAGAGTGACCAGGGGGTTTCTGCATCCTTGGCTAAGGTCTGGAGCTGTTAGACAAGAGGCTTTCAGCCCTTTCTGCACATTGAAACCTACTGCTTTACCAGTGGGAGCAGTGGGCTTGGTAAGTCTTTACAGGGCAGCGTTGCTGAATTCTTGTGATGGAAACGTTACCCATTTTCTCCAGAATAGTGAAGTGGAAGGAAGGGAGGTACAGAGTATCGCACAGCACCCACAAACTCTGTCCTGCTGCTCTAATGCGCTGTTATCTTTCCTTTACAGGGACTGTGAAGGTGAAGAGCTCTAATATACAAGTAGGCGACCTCATCATTGTTGAAAAGGTTAGCCTTTATGTGTACCTTTTGTTTGTAAAGTATTTTTTTTTGCAAGGCCATAGAAAATGAGGTGTTTTGAACTCATGTTTGTTTTATGATAGGCTCAAAATGTCAAGCGTTGAACACTAGTTAGAATATTTAATCACTTTTCAGGGTTTCTCCATCTCCCCTGCCCTTTTTTTCCACACACTCTATGTGGAAGCAGCTGTGTCCTCTAAAACTATTACTCTGAAAACATTCAGTACAAAAAAAAAAAGAAAAATGGTAGCTGTAGACTCCAGCTACATGCTTGCTTTTAGCATGGGACTTCTTGAAAGGAAACCAGCATTAGTTTAAAATTTCTTCATACTTCTAGAGTTACTCACTAGCTCTTTTGTAAACCTAGCAGTCGGTCAGTCTGGTCAGTGGGAGCTGGCACCAGTTATTATTCTGCACTTGGAATTTTGCAGGGAAGTGAGTTTAGGATTCAAAGCAAAATGAATTCCAAGCTTTGGTTTGACAAAGAACTCGTCTTTCTCCTCCATACCCCCTTAGCTTGTCACGGTGGGGCTGTGGAAGGCGGCCGCACACGCGTGCAGGGGTGTATGCACAATAATGGCCTTTCTTCTCCTAACAGAACCAGCGGGTCCCTGCTGACATGATCTTCCTGAGGACGTCGGAGAAGAATGGTAAACATCTGGAACCAATTGTCAAAATAGCCATTAACCTTTCACTGGTTGTTTAGGGAAAATTATCTTTTGGAAATGTGAAAGAAATAGATAATAGAAAAATTTTAAAGAGAGAATTCAAATGCTTTTGTGGACCACCGCTTCTCAGGATGTCACACTCTGTTTTTGTTTGCTAATCAAAGAATGTAGGTAGTTGAATCCAGGGTAAATGAATCAGGTTGCACAATGGTTTGCATTGTAGATGTAAATCATTTTACTTGCCATTCAGGTTTGTTTTGTTAAGTGTGGGATAAGGAAATGTTTGATCAAAAGCATTGAAAACATAAAGACTAATGAGAACATTTCAAATGTCTTAAAGGTACAGTGCAGAGTCTCACTGTATTCTGAAATAGTGGAGAGTAATGAATGTGTGATGCAGGAATATCGTTCTTATGTTATTAACAGATGTTACCTGAAATCAGATACTGTTTCCAAAGAAAGCAGGGTGTCCTAGATATATAGCTCATTTCATGAGCTATAAGTGTGCCTAAGTCAGATCTGGAAAGAGCACTGACTGGTGTTGAAAATCCACAGGGTCTTGCTTCCTTCGCACTGACCAGCTGGATGGTGAGACAGACTGGAAACTGCGGCTGCCTGTTACCTGTACTCAGAGACTGCCAACCGCTTCTGTAAGCTGCCTTCCTACGAAATATTCTGCTTGGTAAACGTGCTCTCTGTTTTACCTGAAAAAGTTCAGGTGCTTCAGTTAATGGGCTGTTTTGAGGAACAGGCCAACGCAGCATTGTTCTGCCCAGGGCTCAGGGCGTGTTACGGATTAGCTTTGGCAGCAAAGAATGTAAGGTAAGCCAGGTCTTCCCGAGCTCCAGGCAAGGTTTCAGGTGAGGTGAAGCTAGGTGTCCCTGCTGCACGGCTGTCACCACAGCTAGAGAGTGACCTCACAGCAGGAGGTAGATGATGGTAGGATGCTCCTATTTTCTTTTTCCTCTCCAGAGACCATGCAGTAACTTGCTGCAGGATGAGTCTTGTTGCAGGATAGGTACCCGTGGTGGCACTTCTTAAATGCTCCCTTTCATTCCTTGCACTGCAGTGTGTTCAGAGGCACAGTTCATCCACTTTCATGAAATGGCTTTAGAGGCAGTTAAGTTTTCATTGCTTGCTTTTATGAAAGGAGGAGTGTCACCATGGAAGCTCCACTGTGTGATCTGAAATAAGCATGTAACCTCCATCAAACATGCTGTCTCCCAAAACCTGTAGCTAAAGTAGTTTGTGTGGGTTTGGTTTTTTTTTTTTGTGAGATTTGTTTGGGTTTTGTGGTTTTGTTTGTTTGTTTGTTTGTTTTTAAAGAAGGAAAATCTAAGTATCTGTTTTATTGATGTTCTATCTGTAAAAAGTGCAAGAAGTTTATTTTATTCAAAGGCTTTGAAGCAAGGCATTCTCTTCATAAAGTGAATAGTTCATGCATGTGTAGGAGTTAGCAGTAAAAACACTGTGCAGAACTGGCATATCTTCTTGTCACCACAGAACTGTTCCTAGTGACACTGGTGTCTTGAACTAAATATTGAATGATAGGGTCTTCCTTGGTTTCCTTGGAAGACTAGTCCAAACCTTCTTTGCTACAAAGTAATAAGTGTCTTAGGCTGTCTTAATTATCCAGGCTGAAATTTCTTTTATGGGGCACTGACATGTATGTAAGTCCCAGGAGTCTCTCAGGTATCAGTTCAATAAATACACTTCAGTGAAACGGGTACAACAATTGTATTTTCTCTTAGACAGTTGGGCTCCAGTAAGTAATATAATTTAGTAGTTATCTTAACTTGATAAGTAACTCTTGCTCAAAGTATTTGGGTAGAAACATTTGTACGTTATTAAAATGTCGTCGTCTAACTGTCTGCCGAAACATGTTTGTTTTACAGGACCTACTGCAAATTCGATCCTACGTATATGCAGAAGAACCCAATATTGATATACATAATTTCGTGGGGACCTTCACAAGGGTGAGTCTTGCTGACATATGCTTGAAATCACATATGTAGTGTTTGCTATGCAAGCCTGCTGAATGCTACCAGGATGCCAGAGTCTTTTAGGAGAAATAGTGAAGTCTCTCTTGCCATTCCTTGTCTCTTCTTTCTTTTTTTTCCCTTTTCCTTTTTTTCCTTCATGAAGTCCATGAAGTAAATCTGACACAAAAATATCATTATCAAAACTTTGACTGGGAGACAATTTCATAAGCTGTTTGGGATTAATACCTTACTCTGAAGGGAATAGACCTGAACATTTGGTTGGAGACTGGTAGTTATGTATTCATGGTGCCTGTTCAGAAGGAAATCTGGACCACCATGGACTCTGTAGGATTAAAATCCTTTAATTGTGAAAAGATACCAAATCTTAGCTAGATCAGGCAATTAGCAGTCTTAATTCTGAGTCAGTTGATTTTTTGCCTTCAATTGGATGCAGCCTATGTGAACTCAGTTATATCTGTCCCCTATTTCAGAGGGCAGCAGCTCAGAGCCACTGTGAAATATCACCATTAAAAAATATATGTTATTTGACTTGTTGGGAAGATGCATTGCCTACTTGGGGCAAAAGGTTGGGTTTTTTTACCTCTCAGTGGGATTATGAAAGTTTTGAGAGATTCATCTAATACCCTTGGGGAGCTTTCAGAGGACAAATGGTTTTGTAACAAATAGGAGACAGTTACAGCTTTTTAGAAGTTCTTGGTGTTATATTAATTAAAAACCATAGATTTTGCCCTTTTTATCTTGTGGCATGGTTTAATCTGGTTAATAGTGCTGGCACGGAAGAGGAGTTTGAGTGGCTTGGAGAGGCAGTTCTTGTATAAAACTTGCACAGACCTTAATTTACTTTCTCATGCAAAGGTAGTTGTGTAGAATTAATCTTTTGTTGCCTGAAAGGAATCGTGCTTTCTTGTAACTGTTCTCTGGTGCATAGCACACAACTTTCCAGGCATCGCTGAGCAGTCCAAACAGGTTCTCAGTGAGATCATAACGGTAGCAGGAGAAACACTATTAATCCACATGAACGAAGTGAGGGAATGTTTTCCTGTAGTCCCTGGAGAGCTGCTGACAAATCCCTTTTCTCATTTATGATTCCTGGGGGCCTTCAGCAGGCAGAGGTATCTTAATAGATTCCGCCCCCCCTGCCCAGTCCTTCTGTTCCACTAAAACAAAGTCCTTGTGTTTTTAACCCACCCAGAGATTCACCTAGGTTTAGGAAAGTCCTCCATCCTATCAAGAAGCCCTCTACCAACTCTCCCAGCATCCCTCTCCAAACACCTCTGTGTGACTCTTGTCATCCACTGGTCTTTTGCATTACTGACAAGTTTGTTTTTCTTTTTATTCTCCTATAGGAGGACAGTGACCCTCCAGTAAATGAAAGTTTAAGCATAGAAAACACCCTATGGGCCAGCACAGTGATTGCATCAGGTAAGATGGAGGCGTGTGTGAATTTTTTTTTAAGGGAATATGTTAACAATTTTTAAAGGTCTTTTTGTAATGGAATAATAATCTCTGTCAGTTGGAGAAATTAGCAGTTGGAATGAGGTTTCCCACTTGTCGTAACACCTCTGGGGAGCTGAGCTGACATCTAATTGCCTCTTGGACATTCCTAGATGAGAAAGAATTGGAGTGGCCTTTGGGCACTTCTTTAGCATCTAGGACCAGAATAGCACTTAATTGCTCTCCACATTGACATTCTAATCTGTAACAGAAATGGTGTCAAATAGATTCTGGTAACAGAAGCTAAGATGAAAGATTTCCAGGTAAGTGCTTCTATTGAGTTCATCTTATATACTTTCAAAAAGGGAAAACAATAAATTCTTTGACAGATTTTGGCTTATATATACGATAAGCTCCCAAAGTCTGAGATTAATCAATGCCCTCTTCTAGATACTTGTCAAAGTAAAAGCCTTATTCCTTTCCTCTCCAGCGTGCTTGCAAAGTTTGCAGAGCAATAGCTGGAGGAGAGTGAAATTCTGTAGTACAATTCTAGAATTAAAGCTGTCAAATGGAGAGACTTGACAGTGTGGTACCAAGGTGTACATGGAATTAATAGGAAGGAACATGAACTTCAAAAGATTGATTTGGCCTTTTAAAAGCAGAAAGCAGTGAATAAAATTTATTCCTGTATATTTCTATCTAATCCTGCTCTGACTCTTCTTTGAAATGTATTATGGTGTTGTCGCAGTGCTGTGACCAAGGAATTGTGAAAAAACTGGTTGTCAAAATACAGTTTAATCGAGATCCAAATAAAATTTAGTCAAGTAAATTATGTTTCTAGATTAGTAACTGCCATGCAGTAGGTAACCTACCTTCCTCTGCTCTGAGTGTAAGACACATGTAGTCAGCCTGGCAGTTTCAAATACCCATCAGGCTGCTTAATGCATGAGCCTCAGCTCATCCCGGTTTTGAACAAAATAGATGGAGAAATGGAAAGCTGTTTTTCTTGTGATTCTTTCCTATATGGCTACTCTCCCCACAGCACCCTTTCCCAGAGGAGCTTCCTTGCCTCTTGTGTCAAAGCTTTAATTTGTACCAGCTCTTGAACCATTGCGGATCCTGCAGTGCCATGGCTGAGCCTGGCACGGCAGGTGTTGCAGTGAGTAGTCCTGCTGCGGGCAGAGGGGAATGCTGTCCTGCCCTCAGCACGCTCACAGCCAGTTCCTGCCGAGGGTAAAAGCTCTTCCTCTGCTGTGCACTCAGCTGTGTGTAGTATACCCGTGTGTGCAGACATTTTTCCCCAAAGGAGGGCACAGTGCACTCTCTGCTCCTCCTGGTCGCTAGTTCAGTGCTGTTTAGAAGCCCTGGTGGTCCTGGTGTCTGTATCAAGGCATGTGACGACCTCCTCTCTGCCTAAATGTACTTAGAAGCATTTGCAAATAATTTCACCATTTCAAATGGTTTATGCAGTTGAGTCTGTTTTGAATGGCCATAAAACAGCTACAAACTCTTTTTACACATGCCAGTGTGCCTTCAAGCTGTTTTCTAGTCCTGGCAGGTTTTCCCCCTCGTTTTGACTGACTTGATCAATATAATACTCAGTTTTGTTTCTCCTACGGCAATAATAAATAGCATGTTGCAGGTTATTTCTGTTAGGAAAAAATGGGGATATTATTTTTCTTCTTCTGTACGTGAAAGCTGTCAAGTTGCGGTGATGCCATCTCACTGGGGCAGCCTTTGCTTGTAAGACGAAGCAGAGCTATGTGGCTTTCTCCATCTGCTGTAGTAGGAATGGGTCTGACTCTTGACTGTTTGCAGTTGATTTGGAGTAGCTGTGCCATCTGCTGATTTGAATTGTGATGATCTTACCACCACCTGCCATCTGGCTCCAGTGATTTGTTGTTGTTGGTGTTTTGTTTTGTTTTTTTTTTTTTTAAGTAATGTTTCACAGCATATTTTTAGAAACCACCTCTTTTGAATCAGTCTTATTAAAAAATAATTCACTTGGAGCTTGTTAAAACTTCGATCATTAATGGGAGAAGGGAAATAGCAAAGTATAAAATGGCAATGTATTTGCAGCAGTGGTTTGGTTTTTTTTTTTTTTGGTGTTGTTTTCTCTCTTTTAACAGACCCCTGAAATTTTCTAGTGAAAAATTCAACTTTGGCCATAGCAGCTTTTAAACTCTAGATGCTAGCTAGGGTTTTTTCATGGCTTTTTGCAAAGTCCTTAAAAGAAATCTGTAGAAAACCAGTAATTTATGGTGCTAAACTGTATTACGTTTCTGTGAGAAGAAAAGGGAGAACTTTGTTGCTCTAAGCTCTTTAGCAACTGTGGGACATAGCATTAAAATATACTGGTAGGCTCCCAACAGCTCCATCTGTTACAGTAAGGTAGGTGTTCATGTGATTCGCCTTTCAGTGGGAACAGCAATTAGACAAATACTTAAAGTAAATTGTAGATTTTAAAACACAGTAATTTTGTCTTTGACAGCTGTTGGAATTAATTGGTTTTACTCTAATTGTGGCAACCTTCACCAATAAAGAGGAACTGTAGCCCAGAGCATGGATTAAATTTTGACACACAATGAAGGGTCACTATCTGGTGTAAGGCAAACTTACCCACACCTAAGTGAGATTCAAAGTGGTGGGAGGAAAACCAAGAAGTCCTCCATCACTAGCAACTTTTGTTTATAGTGAGGAGAGACAACTGACATCAAAACGCGGTCAGGGAAAGTCAGGAGAGCGAAGCAGTTGATGTCTCTTTCCATGCACCGTAGTTGATGCAGCCTGTGATGCTGCATCACATCCAACCATATGGGCAGTGTGGTTGAACACTTACTGACTTTTTGTAGGATGTCTTCTGTTCCAAGTCTGTGTTTTCATAGTTTTTATATTTCAGGTACCAGCTTTTTAATTTCTGGTTGCTATTGCTTCTGAAATTAACCTGATAAAAATCCTTTCCAACTGTCAAGCCTTTGGATCCAATGAGTGTTTTTAAAGAGAAAACGAACAGAGGTTGTTTTTCTTCAGCTGGTGCGTGCTCTGTTTTGTGTAGGTACTGTTGTGGGAGTTGTTCTCTACACTGGAAGGGAACTGCGCAGTGTGATGAATACTTCAAACCCAAGAAGTAAGGTATGGTGAGGAAACAGTCTTATGATAAATAAAAAGAGACAGAAATTTATCATTTTTTAAAGAAAATCCTTCAAATGCTATACATACATGATACAGGGAAAACCCCATACAAATAATGATTCATGTCTTCTAGCCTATGAATTAAGATAGCTACCAATGCAGAACCTATTCCTCCTGATGTTTTTTGATCCTATTATACATGTTTCTTCTCTCTTTTTTAAGATTGGTAAAACCATTGGTTTATATGGTTATAATGAGATAGTCTCAGTTAGAATAGGAAAGCTTATTTTGCCCCTTTCTTATATCATAGCAAAGCTAAGACAGGGTACAGGGATGTTTATGTAGACTGCAGCTTTTGGCAGTGTGAGTCCTCTCATACCTCTTTGTGCATTACTTAGCTTCGAAAGGATGGAAGTCTTATTTAGTAAGCTGGCAACAATATTGCTTATAAATTTAAATATGTTTGTATTGTTTTAAAAGAGAAGTAGAGTAGTGGAGAATTGCTCTTTGGATATGGCAGTTCATTCCCTTTGTGAATATTATATTGAGCTAATGTCTTCTCTTGTGCGTTTGAAATGTGTTTATTTTATTTCTTTAGATTGGTCTTTTTGATTTGGAAGTGAACTGTCTTACCAAGATCCTGTTTGGGGCTCTTGTGGTAGTCTCGCTTGTCATGGTGGCCCTCCAGCACTTTGCTGGCCGTTGGTATCTTCAGATCATAAGATTTCTCCTTCTGTTCTCAAACATCATTCCCATTAGGTAAGGCAATTGCTAATTCTCCCCAGCAAAATACTGTTTCCTTTGCATCCTCCTCCATGCTTCTAGTATGAGCAAGCATGTAAACTCTTATCTATTCCTCATTTGACAAATAAGCAAATCTAGAAATAAAAATCAAATTACTGTTCAAACATGAGAATTGCTTTGTTGTTTCTGAGGAATTTGTTTGGCACATTCACCTGTTCACTGACTCTAACTCAGGCTGTGGATCAGTCATTGAAGGCCCTTTCTCTCAGGTTCAGGCTGCCTCGTTACTTTAATAGGAGTAGAGAAAAATGGAAAAGGAGAGAGATTTATACAATATGTAGTGTAGTAGGACCCAATTGCCTTTTAGAGAAGACTGAAATGTTAATATTTAATTGCATTATATTAATAAGTAGATTGTTACTTTCGGTGTAGGGCTGGGATTCATTTCAGTTCCATTTTTACCCTGCCGTCTGTGTATCAGTCACGCTGTCTGTGTCCATCTTCCCCTCAAAATATATCTGTTCTTTTCAGTATAATTTTATCATCTGTCTTTGAATTACAGTACCACTGCAGCAATGCACAATCCTTCTCCCCATTTGCCACCCAGGCACTGACTTTGAATATCCTTCTCCCAAAACTCCCTCTTTGACAGCTCACATTCAGCATGGGAGACGTGTCCTTTCATTGCACTGTGGCAGTTCACAATGATTTTTTTCCAAAGTTTAACTGGAGATACGTTTTCTTTTTCCCCTTCCTCCTGCATAGTTTACGTGTGAATCTGGACATGGGGAAAATTGTCTACAGCTGGGTGATCCGCAGAGATTCCAAAATCCCTGGGACTGTGGTTCGGTCCAGCACTATTCCTGAGCAGCTGGGGAGGATATCCTATTTGCTTACAGACAAAACAGGTATCTGTGTAGAAAATACAGTTTTAAGTCATGGTATGTTGTTGTTTGGATTTTGTTACATTTTTGGCCAGCCAGAGAGCATAATGTAAGATTTCTTTGGACTAGAAGAAATATGCATTTCCTGTCACTTTGACAATATGATTTAATCGTTTTTTGAAAAAAAAGTTTTGCATTTTTTTGTTCTGAATGCATTATAAGTAAGATAGGACAGGAATATTATGCTACTTCAAAAAACACTTAAAATGTGCTATTAAGCCAAAAGCTGAGGGTAAAAATAAAATTAAAAGCAACTTTTTAGGGTTAGTTTTCAAAACTAGATTAAGATCACTTACACTGTCTGCTGCTGTCCTTACACTTTTAAAGTTGAGCTTGAATTCAGAAGACCTAAGCTGTAATGAAAAGCCTAATCTGACGTAAAATCCTGGTCCCATTGAAATTGTTTCCAGAAGTTTTCTTTGGTTCCAACAGGACCAGAATTATGCTCTTGCTGGCATTGACTTTGGGGTAAATCTCATTCTTATTTACTGGCACAGCGATGTGCATCCATACCCAGGAGATTCAGCTCTCAGGTTTGTTCACGTTGTCTTTTTTGCTGGCCCCAGCCTGTGCTGAGAGCCTGGTGCACTGACTGATTCAGCTTCTGGCCCAATATCTCTTAAATTTGGGGTACAGCAAGGATGAGAACATGTGCTGGGGAATAGGCATGTTGGTTCCCACTCCATATCTGGTGCTGCTTCTGTTACAGGAACTCTTACACAGAATGAGATGGTCTTCAAGCGACTCCACCTGGGAACGGTAGCTTATGGCCTGGACTCCATGGATGAAGTGCAGAGCCACATATTCAGTATATACACTCAGGTAGAATTAAATTGCATTACTTGACTCTTTGTTCACAAAACATTTTTCCGTGTCACTGGGCTAATGGTGAATTTATGTGGCAGGGATCTACCTATTACTTTTTGGAAAAGTCTGAATGTCATAGAATCATAGAATCATAGAATGGTTAGGGCTGGAAGGGACCTTCAAAGGTCATCTAGTCCAACCCCCCTGCAAGGAACAGGGATATCTCCAACTAGATCAGGTTGCTCAGGGCCTTGTCCAACCTGGCCTTGAACGTCTCCAGGGATGGAGCATCCACCACCTCTCTGGGCAACCTGTTCCAGTGTTCTACCACTCTCATAGTAAAAAATTTTTTCCTAATATCCAACCTGAACCTACCTCCCTATATTTTAAAACCATTACCCCTTGTCCTATTGGTCATCCTATTGTCATTGGATGCTTAATACATAAATATTATCCTGATTGCTTATTACATTCAGAGATTATTTCACATCCACCAGTCTTTAACTGCCGCAGGATGTGCACAGATGTTTAAGTGTATGTGAGTATGTGTGCCTGTGTCTTGCTACCGCGGTCTGATTGTAAAATAGCATACTTTTATTTCGGAATTCACCACTTACAGCAACCACAGCATTTACTTCATTGAAAATTGGCTCTGGATAATATTTAGTGGACGAAGTTGCTGTTTGAAATGCTGTGTACTGGGGCAGTAATAAAGGAAGAGGAACCGTAGGTACTTAGTAAGCAGTAACAGAGAAGTGTGCCTGTATCGCTGCTTTAGGCCTGATTTGTTAAAAAAGAAAATGGTAGAAGTGGGATTCTTTCGGAATTCACCACTTATAGCAAACCAAGCATTTACTTCATTGAAAAATTGGCTCTGGATAATATTTAGTGGACGAAGTTGCTGTTTGAAATGCTGTGTACTGGGGCAGTAATAAAGGAAGAGGAACCGTAGGTACTTAGTAAGCAGTAACAGAGAAGTGTGCCTGTATCGCTGCTTTAGGCCTGATTTGTTAAAAAAGAAAATGGTAGAAGTGGGATTCTTTCACTGATGCAGCCGTGATCTTACATGGTGCATAACTGACATCTGCTCTGAGAAGTACCTACCACTAAAGAAGGCAGCAAAGTCAACATTTAAAGTATAGAACAGGAAAATCCTGTTTTGGAAAGTCTCTCCCTTGCATTCCTCTTTCAGTATCACTGGGTGAGCCAGCATCTAAAAAGCCTTCATCAATTTTCTTAGACTTTTATTTCAGTTTTGTGTGATAACCGGGTAATGCCACGTGACTCGTCTGGGTCAGTGGGTCATTGAACTGTGTTCCTCAGCATGTTACAGCAGACCAGTTGCTTATCAATTGAAACTTCATACAGATACACACACACATTTCCTTCTTAAAACAAGGGATGACGTTTTACTCAAGAACATTACTACCTTTTAAAAAAAATAAATTGGCTGTGTCAGTGGCTGATGTTCCAACCACTGTTACTTATAAAAGATTTAAGAATTGTCTCTAATTATGTAATCACGGAAGCATTATTTTTCCATTTTCAGTTACTAAACGTTCTTTCAACTGCAGCTAGAAATAACTTTTTTTGTGACTTACTGATAATTAGATTTTCTCTTTTGTAAAATGTGATTGCACAGACACAGTCTACAGACATTAGTGATGAATTACTGAACCTGTGTCGTATGTCAAGCATTTTCATTTCTCGATAGTTATGGAATTGCTTCATTCCTACAGAAACCACAGAAGTCATGTTCGAAGTGCCTGTGCTTTTTCCTGAGCGTGCACACTAATGCAGTGAACTGGGTTTTTCACGTCACGTTGTTTCTGCTTTGCTCTAGATATTTTAGACTGAAGTGTGCTTTCTGTACCCCCCACAAAGTGAAACATGAAGCCAGCATTCTTGCCTGGAAAAAGGCATCATGTACTGTAAATAGCATTTTTATTTTTGGATTTTGTTCATGTGGTAAAGACGCACAGCAGGTTTCCTTGACCTCAGTGATCCGTTTGGTGGCATAGCTTTTCCTTGGGCAGACTGTCAGGCTGAAATGTGCTTTTAACTAAGCATATGACAGTTGATAAATACCTGGTAGTTTGAGTAATTATCTTTTTCACTGGCATGTGTCTCAGGTAACTTGTAACTCCTCTCGCCGATTCTC